GAGAGGGTTGTGACGGCACCGAGTGAGCCAGAACTCTTGGAACATCACCAGAGAGTGTTGAGGCAACTGAGTGAGCTGTAAACGGAACAATCTACCAGAGTGTTGTGACGGCACCGAGGAGCTGTAAACTCTAAAATCTACCAGAGAGGTTGTGACGGCACGAGTGGAGCCGTGTGGAACAATCTACCAGAGAGGGTTGGACGGCACCGAGTGTGAGCCAGAACTCTGGAACAACTAGAGAGTAAGGTATGGCACTGAGGTGAGCTGTAAACTTGAACAATCTACCAGAGAGAGACGGCACCGAGTGTGAGCCGTAACTCTGGAACAACTACCAGGAGAGGTTGGGACGGCACCGAGTGTGAGCTGTAACCCTGGAACACCCACTAGGAGGGGACAGAGTGAGCGTGAACTCTGGAACTACCAGAGAGTGTTGTGGACGCACCGAGTGTGAGGCCGGAACTCTTGAACAATCTACCAGAGAGTGTTGTGACGGCACCGAGTGTGAGCTGTGAACTCTTGGAACAACTACTAGAGGAGATGGCACGAGTGTGCAAACCAACAGAGAGTTGTGACGGCACCGAGTGTGAGCCGTGAACTCTTGGAACAATCACCAGAGAGTGTTGTGACGGCACCAGAGGAGCCGTGAACTCTTGGAACAATCTACCAGAGAGGTAGTGACGGCACCGAGTGTGAGCCGTGAACTCTTGGAACAATCTACAGAGAGTGTTGGGACGGCACCGAGGTGAGCCAAACCTGGAACAATCTACCAGAGAGGTTGTGACGGCACCGAGTGTGAGCTAAACTCTTGGAACAATCACCAGAGAGAAGGACTGTCTGGGAGCTAAACTCTGGACAATCTACAGAGAGGGTTGTGACGGCACCGAGTGTGAGCGTGAACTCTTGGAACAATCTACCAGAGGGTTGTGACGGCACCGAGGTGAGCTAGAACTCTGGAACAATCTACCAGGAGAGTGTTGTGACGGCACCGAGTGAGCTGTAAACTCTGGAACAATCACCAGAGAGAGTACAGGCAACGAGTGAGCTGTAAACTCGAACACCCACTAGAGGTTGTGACGGCACCGAGTGAGCTAACTCTGGAACACTCTCAAGAGAGTGTTGTGCAGCACTGGGAGGGACTGTAAACTTGGAACATCACTAGAGAGGTTGTGACGGCACCGAGTGGAGCCGTGAACTCTTGGAACAATCACCAGAGAGGGTTGCGATGAGGTAGAACCTTGGAACAATTACCAGAGAGGGTTGACGCACGAGTGTGAGCCGAACTCTGGAACAATTCACAGAGAGGGTGGCGGCACTGAGTGTGGAATCAACAATCTACAGAGGGGTTGTGGCACCTGTGAGCCGGAAACTCTGGAACAATCTACCAGAGGGTTGGACGGCACTGATGAGCCGTGAACTCTTGGAACAACCACCAGAGAGGTGTCGGGGCACCATGTGAGCCAAACTTGGAACACCTACCAGAGAGGGTTGTGACGGCACCGAGTGTGAGCTGTAAATCCTTGGAACAACCACCAGAGAGTGTAGACGGCACGAGTGTGAGCCGTAAACTCTTGGAACAATCTACCAGAGAGGGTTGTGACGGCACCGAGTGAGCCAGAAACTCTTGGAACAATCTACCAGAGAGGGTTAGGACGGCACCGAGTGGAGCTGAACCTGGAACACCTGAGAGGGGCCAGGACGGCACAAGTGTGACTGAGCTTGAACAACCACCAGAGAGAGTGCTGACGGCAACTATGTGAGCTGGAACCTGGAACAATCACCGAGAGGGTTGTGACGGCACCGAGGTGTGAGCTGTAAACTCTTGGAACAATCACCAGAGAGTGTTGTGACGGCACCGAGTGTGAGCCAAACTCTTGGAACAATCACCAGAGAGGGTTGTGACGGCACCGAGTGTGAGCCAAATCTTGGAACAACTACCAGAGAGGCTGTATGGCACCGAGTGTGAGCTGTAAACTCTGGAACACCCACCAGAGAGAGTGTTGTGACGGCACCGAGTGTGAGCTGTTTACCAGACTTGACTGCAGCAGGTTCAGATACATCCAGAGGTGTACATGCCAGTACTTGCCACCAGTGTAACAGAGAGCCAGTACATGCTCAGTACTTGCCACCAGTGGTAACAGAGAGCCAGTACATGCCCAGTGCACTGAAAGTGTGTAACAGAGAGCCAGTACATGCCCAGTACTTGCCACCAGTGTGTAGAGACCCAGTACATGCTCAGTACTTGCCACCAGGTAACAGAGAGCCAGTACATGCCCAGTACTTGCCAACAGTGTGTAACAGAGAGCCAGTACATGCCCAGTACTTGTACCAACAGTGTGTAACAGAGAGCCAGTACATGCCTAGTACTTGCCACCAGTGTGTAACAGAGAAGTACATGCCCAGTACTTGCCAGCAGTGTGTAACAGAGACCCAGTACATGCCCAGTACTTACCAACAGTGTGTAACAGAGAGAGCCAGTACATGCAGTACTTGCCCAACATGTGTAAGAGAGCCAGTACATGCCCAGTACTTGCCAACAGTGTGTAACAGAGAGCCAGTACATGCCCAGTACGCCAACAGTGTGTAACAGAGACCCAGTACATGCCCAGTACTTGCCAACAGTGTGTAACAGAGAGCCAGTACATGCCCAGTACTTGCCAACAGTGTGAACAGAGAGCCAGTACATGCCAGTACTTGCCAGTGTGTAACAGAGGCCAGTACATGCCCAGTACTTGCCAACAGTGTGTAACGAGACCAGTACATGCTATGCTTACCAGCAGGTGTGTAAAGAGAGCCAGTACATGCCCAGTGCCTTACCAGTGTGCAACAGAGAGCCAGTACATGCCTAGTACTTGCCAACAGTGTGTAACAGGACCCAGTACATGCCCAGTACTTACCAACAGTGTGTAACAGAGAGCCAGTACATGCCCAGTACTTGCCACCAGTGTGTAACAGAAGCCAGTACATGCCCAGTACTTGCCAGCAGTGTGTAACAGAGAGGCCAGTACATGCCCAGTACTTGCCAACAGTGTGTAACAGAGAGCCAGTACATGCCCAGTACTTGCCAACGAGTGTGTAACAGAGAGCCAGTACGCAGTACTTGCCACCAGTGTGTAACAGAGGCAGTACATGCCCAGTACTTGACAGTGTGTAACAGAGAGCCAGTACATGACCAGTACTTACCAACAGTGTGTAACAGAGGCCAGTACATGCCCAGTACTTGCCACAGTGTGTAACAGAGGCCAGTACATGCCTAGTACTTGCCAACAGTGTGTAACAGAGACCCAGTACATGCCCAGTACTTGCTAACAGTGTAAGAGAGAGCCAGTACATGCCCAGTACTTGCCAACAGTGTGTAACAGAGCCAGTAGGCCTACATCCCCAATATTTGCCAACAATGTGTAACAGAGAGCCAGTACATCCCTAATACTTACCAACAATGTGTAACAGAGAGCCAGTACATCCCTAATACTTACCAACAGTGTGTAACAGAGAGCCAGTACATGCCCAGTACTTGCCAACAGTGTGTAACAGAGCCAGTAGGCCTACATCCCCAATATTTGCCAACAGTGTGTAACAGATAGCCAGTACATCCCTAATACTTACCAACAGTGTGTAACAGAGAGCCAGTACATCCCCAATACTTACCAACAGTGTGTAACAGAGAGCCAGTACATCCCCAATACTTACCAACAGTGTGTAACAGAGAGCCAGTACATGCCCAGTACTTGCCAACAGTGTGTAACAGAGAGCCAGTACATGCCCAGTACTTGCCAACAGTGTGTAACAGAGAGCCAGTACATGCCCAGTACTTGCCACCAGTGTGCAACAGAGAGCCAGTACATGCCCAGTACTTGCCAACAGTGTGTAACAGAGAGCCAGTACATGCCCAGTACTTGCCAACAGTGTGTAACAGAGACGTGACCGACCGCCCAAGCGGCTAACGAACCAATCAGTGGTGAAGAGGATAAAAGAAAAAGTTGACCTATTACAATTATCACCAGTATAAACCTATTTCATTCTCTATTTATCTATCTCTATCTCTCTCTCTCTCTCTCTCCGGTTATCCGTCTGCCTTTCTATCTATCTAAAAAAAATTAAGAAGTTCGTGGTAATTTCCTAACAAGGGTAGTTTCAACAACACAGGTGGTGGGTAATCAAAGAAAATGTTGCTATGGGAAAATCTGAAAGGGTAACTTAAGAAATAATGCCATGCCACACTTTTTTTTCCCCAATGTGTGTATAAACTCCTTGTGTATGACTGTTTGATTATATTATTTTATCTGTTAGTCTGTCTGGTTGAATAAAGACTTTTCTTTGTCCTAAACACAGTATTATGTAAAAGTACAGTCAAGTCTTATTGGTCCATACTAGGCTCTCTCTCGCTCTCTCTCGCCCTTATAAATCTGTCTGTATATTCAAGATGCCAAATGTCTGGGAGTAATTTTATCAACATTTTCTATATAATTTATAATCTCAAGCGTTAGACAGAAACAATATCCCTTACATTATATTACCCGTTACATTATTCCCTACCAAACCAGCCAGCCTTGAAATGTCTCCTTGAGGTCTGCTTCCGGGGTCTGTCTCAGGCTAGGTAAATGTTATCCTAGCAACGGGTCACCTGGGGGGTTAGGTTAAGATCTAAGTTTATATAAGGTTAGGAGAGGACTGGATTACCTTGGGATGAGACTAGGTTAGGTTAGGACTAGCCTAGGTCACGTTAGATCGGGGGTAGCACTGGTTTGGTTAGGTTAGATTATAACAAAAACAATAATATCCACTATAAAATACTATAAGTTAAAATACAAATGCAATAAATTACAACAAACTACAAAATAAGAAGATTTAAATAATATTCAGATCAACATGTAGGGCAGCAGACCACTCACGACGCCACACTACATTAACGCCTTCAGTAACGCCTACCACAATCTACGTCGTAACTACTAAACTACTTCTACCACACACTAAACATGTATTAGGTCATTATAAACTAATACCTTTAAAGATGAATTGAAAAAGCCAATAGTTGAGTTAGTTGATTGTATTACATTCAGAACGGATCAATTTTTTCTCGGTAGATTATGTATTTCACTTATAATCTGGTTTATTTTCGGTTCTATACACTGGTTTAGTTTATCACTTAATATAGAGTAATGTACTGGGGTTTATATGCGTTGAAATACACTTTAGTTTAACAGGAAGGAGATAGATAACAGGTCGTGTCCTCCCTCGACCACGTCTGGTGATACACTAACAGGTGACGTCACGGCCGACACCCATCACAACATCGATTCCTCCTCGCTAAAAATATTCCCCATATTATTCCATTATATCCCATTTATTTCCGTATAAAACCCAACTATTAACATCCCGATAAGCGCCTATTAATATCATACATTAAATAATTCTACTAAATCACCATATAAAGCTACAATATCACTTTTCGCGAATTATAATAGGTGTTAAATTCTGTGTCTGCCAATGGGACATATTGATAAGAATAAACTCAAGGTTATAAGTCTTCCTCAAGTTCATTTTATCAGAGGAATGATATAATATTTAAGTTATCGACCTGACAATGAAAATAACTGTCAGGGAGAAACATTACAGGAGTTATGGAATTTATGAGCCGTAGATCTAGGTCACCTTAAACTACAGTCACTCATTTATGGCAGAAATATTCCATTAATAATTAAAAATCTATATTTCTTTATTCTTATCCTTCTATCTATATTTTATTTAGTAAGACATGACATAGCTGTAAAATCTCTATTAACGACGATATGGCGAAGAAATTCCGTTATATCGAGGGGACTTTTGATGTAACACCTCCATTTAACGGAATATATGGATAAGTCCGCTATATGGAGGTATCACTGTCCGGTATACAATTGTTATAGTTTTTAAATGAATAAACTGGTTCATTTACTTCACAGCAAAATATGTAAACTTTGGCAATAAATCAAACTTTGGTGTTGGGGATAAATTACTCACATTTAATAATATAATTTCTGCTGTTAATTATGTGATAAATATAATAAAAATAAATAACAAATTAAGTTAAGATTCACGAAAGGTTAATCACGTCATTATGTAATATTCAACAACAGGTGTCTGCATTAAGAAGCCAAGTCAGAAAACTTCTTACTAAATAAAAATACTTTATTTCATTGATAATATCCTAAAAATGGTGGAGGAAATACATTTTTATTAATCAAAAAGATTATATATCAGAATACATGATTTTTATAACCTAACACCCCGGCCATGTCGCCTTGTGTCTTCGTGATGTCGAGGAACTGATATAAGCCATTACTGAATGATAACGGCTTTTAACATAACCAGTTAATGAATAATAAAAGTTTTATCTCATTTATAATACTTTAAACATAATGAATCGTCGCTTGGAGCTTCGTAAGTTAATTTCATCACTATTGTCATAAATTTAAGTCAAGGGATAAAGGGCCATTTCTTTTGCGTTCTCGAATTTAATATCCGATCCTTTACTTAACTGTGATTGGTGGACTAAAATGTTAACACACCAAATTCCAGCCAATGGGAGAAGAGGGCAGTCAGTCAGCACAACACCCCGACTTATGTTCTGCTGTTGATTTTCGTTTTCTCCTCTGATTTTACTGACAAATGGCGCAGGTTGACTTACAATTTATACAGTCATGGCGCGCGACCGGCACACTTTTGTACTAAAATAAAATAAATGAAAATTTCCAGATAAATAATGTACGAAGTATATTTAGAAAAACGTAAAATAAAAAGGTTTTCATTTAGTCTTTAGTTAATTCTTAGTTTAATTCTTGATAAAATCACACAGAAAAAAGCTATTTATCTCCATTATGATCCTTGAATAATATGAAACATCGCTTGGAGCTTCAAGTTGATTTCATCATTATTGTCGTAAATTTAAGTCAAGGGATAGTGGGCCATTTCCTTTGCGTTCTCGAATTTAATATCCTATCCTTTACTTAACGGTGATTGGTGGACCAAAATGTCAACACACCAAATTCCAGCCAATGGGAGAAGAGGGCAGTCAGTCAGCACAACACCCCGACTTATGTTCTGCTGTTGCTTATTATTTTTCTCATATGATTTACACTACAAGAAGCTTGGTCGTGTGTGTGGGTGCCGTTCCACATACATCTATATTTTTTCCAGATAAATAAATAGACCATATTAATAAGAAAAAACATTGAATACAAAGGTTTTCAATTATTTTAGAGTTAGTCTTTACTGTTTTAATGTTAAATAAAGGAAAACGTCCGCATTATTTTATGGTCTTCAAGTAAAAAAAATCCTTTACTGTGATTGGTGGACTAAAATGTAAATACACCAAATTACAGCCAATAGGAGAAGAAAACAATCAGTCAGCACAACACCCTCATTTATGTTTTCCTGTTGGATATTATTCTCAGTTACGTTGTCAAGATGAGAGTCGTCGCATCTCCGCCCAAAATTTCTAAACAGCGAAAACAACTGTCTGTCTCTTGGTACAATGTTTATTAATTACACCGACCACATTTGTGTATAGTATTTACTGCTTATAAGGACCATTTCTGTATAGTGTTACCTGCTTATACCGACCACTTGTGTATAGTATTTGCTGCTTATAAGGACCATTTCTGTATAGTGTTACCTGCTTATACCGACCACATTTGTATATAGTATTTGCTGCTTATAAGGACCATTTCTGTACAGTGTTACCTGCTTATACCGACCACTTGTGTATAGTATTTACTGCTTATAAGGACCATTTCTGTATAGTGTTACCTGCTTATACCGACCACTTGTGTATAGTATTTACTGCTTATAAGGACCATTTCTGTATAGTGTTACCTGCTTATACCGACCACTTGTGTATAGTATTTACTGCTTATAAGGACCATTTCTGTATAGTGTCACCTGCTTATACCGACCACTTGTGTATAGTATTTACTGCTTATAAGGACCACTTGAGGGCCATGATAGTGATTTTTCCACACACACAGAGGCCAGTTTAAGGATAATAATAAACAAATTATAATAACATCTGGTAATTCAGGTTTAATTGCTTTGAAAACACCAGTCAATTGTTTCCATTAAACAAGAGAAGACTTCCTCATGGCAGCCAATGAAGGAACAATTCATTTGGCTTTAAAAATAAATTAATCTGTACAGTATTAGACAAGGCTTAATATCTGTATGTCTGTTCTCACTTCCCTTGGATAATCAAGTCTTCAGCTTAACACACAAATGGTTTAGTAGTAGTACAGTATGGTGTAGTTGACTATCAGATCAGAATTGAGAGTTTTTGTAATTCTGAACTTTATTTATCACCTGAGGATTAACTCCCCTTAGTGTTCACCTGAAGATTAGCTCCCCCAAGTGCTCACCTGAGGATTAACCCCCCAAGTGCTCACCTGAGGATTAACCCCCAAGTGCTCACCTGTAGATTAACCCCCAAGTGCTCACCTGTAGATTAACCCCCAAGTGCTCACCTGAGGATTAACCCCCAAGTGCTCACCTGAGGATTAACCCCAGTGCTCACCTGAGGATTAACCCCCAAGTGCTCACCTGAAGATTAACCCCCAAGTGCTCACCTGAGGATTAACCCCCAAGTGCTCACCTGAAGATTAACCCCCAAGTGCTCACCTGAAGTTTAACTCCCCTCCCAACCTAACCTAACCAGCCTAAAATTACAATCTTGTTGGTAAGGAGGGAAAGCTAAAGTTCAGGTGATAATTAAAGGCTAAAATTACAAAAAAAATCGTCTCTGTTCTCAGTCTCGACTCGACCACTGGTATAGAACAAGTCCAGGGGGTGTGGGGGGTAATACAATAATCAAAATTACACAATCAACAATTTTTCATTTTCCCTTCAAAAATTATCAAGTATTAGAAGTGAAATAAATCCCCCTACTCTTAATACACCTTCAACCTAACCTAACCTAACCTAACCCATAGGATCGTTACACATACAACTTAAGCTTCAATTGTTAGGGGTTAGGTTAGGTCTGAAGGCTTGTTAGAAGTAGGGGGAAACATTCATCCAATCACAACGTCCAGGAAGCACAAATTCGGGGTAATATGGCATCATCGTATATACACAAATGACTATCATACAAACATTTGGACAGAATCTGGACATAGATGAACAAAAACACCTTTAGTGAAATGATCATTGGAAAGAGAAGGCAAAAATCTATATCATATCTATGTACAAAAGACCACATACACCTCACGTGGGTCTAAACACCACCTCTAGGGTCCCATCTCTCACGTAGACACTTTCTCTGAGACGAGCACAACGTCAAATGGCCCCCAGGAATCCTAACAGCTCCCCCCCCCCTCCCCCCTCTCTCCAAAAAACTAACCTACACCACAAGATTTGGAAACTATCAGGCCACAACCGTAATACTAATAGAGGCTGGGCCCCTATTAGGGATGAGTACTTAAACTGGGGTCAATTAGGAGCGAAACACAACCCTGATGAGTTAGTTTAGAGCAGTTAGGGGCTGTTAGTATTCTCTGGGGGGGGGACACACTTGACTAATCACCCCAAATCTATTCTTGTTATGCCAAAAATAACACTATGGTACTCCTGACATCATAAATAACACTATGGTACTCCTGACATATCATAAATCACACTATGGTACTCCTGACATGCCAAAAATAACACTATGGTACTCCTGACATCATAAATAACACTATGGTACTCCTGACATATCATAAATCACACTATGGTACTCCTGACATGCCAAAAATAACACTATGGTACTCCTGACATATCAAAAATCACACTATGGTACTCCTGACATGCCAAAAATAACACTATAACTTTTTCACAGACCATAACAATCTCCTGGTATACTACAACACGTTCTGGCTCAGGTCGGCCTCGAATCAGCCAACCCCTCGGAGACGCACACACACACACATACACCCACACTCTCTAGTCCTCCTTCACCGCACATCTCCGGCGCACCACTATGTCTTGGCGGCTTCCATTTGCTTCATGATCTGCTCCTTTATGACCTTCGTTGCCTCGCTCGCCTTTGGGATGAGGAACCTGGAAGGATGTGAACAAGATGGTGTTATATGGTTGGTATCACTGTCCTGAAAGTGATTGACACCATAAGTGGCATTGATATCATAATTGACACTAACATCACCTGTGCACCATCAACTAACATCTCTCCACCATAACTAACATCACCTGTGCACCATCAACTAACATCTCTCCACCATAACTAACATCACCTGTGCACCATCAACTTGCCTGTCCATGTCGGATATGGTGACCTCGCCCTCTGGTGACGTAGTGCCGTACTTAAAGGTGATGAGATCCGGGTGTCTCTTCTTAGAGGTTATCTTGACGATGGAGGCCAGAGTTCTCCGTGCCGTCACATGCCCTTCTCCGTCCTTGTTCTCCGACTCACGTACGATAAACAGCAGTGTCTCCATAAGCAACAGATGACTGAGGGGTAAAAATAATTGAAATTTATTGATTTTTTAACCTTTTTTTACTATTATTTTATTTGTTAATATTTGTTGTGCTTTTAGAGGTAATTTTTTGTGGATAAATTTAATTATTTTTGTTTAAATTTTTCATTATGTTGTTAACTAAATTTTGCACACCCACCCACCCAATCCCCTATTGATCAAACTCACCATTTATACATATAACCATTCTCTTTCACTTGGTTACAGGTGAACGACGATATAAAGTCCGGTTTCTTGAGCCACTGCGAGATCTTCACTACCTCCAGCCTCTCGTTCTCTTCATTATCTATGAAAGGTAAACAGAGGTCAAATGAGAAACTGAATTATTATCGACAAATGGTAAACAAACGTCAAATGAGATGCCGAATTGGTCATTGCTGGTACAAAGTTGTGACATTATGTGATGTTATGTGACGTTCTAAGTCCATTTTTATTATCCAGTTTATGAGTTTTGATTCCTACTGATGCCGTAGATCGGAAAATTCACCGCCCAGCGTACACAGACGTCCTGGGGTCATGTTTACAGTAACCCGGTCTATACGTACTTTCACCGTCATCGTCACCGAAGCCAAACACGTCTCCCAGGTTACGATAGGGTCTCCCTCGGTCCAGCGCGCTCACGTGGCGGTCGATGGTCAAGCCTTCACCATTGGGGTTCGTGATGTACTCGACCAGTTTCTCCTTCATCTCGGCTGACTGGAAATGTGAGACAGATATGGTGGTGATTATAGGAGATTGTGGTAGTGGTGGTAGGAGACTGTGATGGTGATTGTGGTAGTGGTGGTAGGAGATTAAAGGAGATGGTTGTAGTAGTAGCAATGGTAATAGGAGATTGACGGGATACTGTGGTAGTGGTGGTAGAAAGAGATTGTGGTAGTTGTGGTAGTAGGGGATTGTGGTAGTGATGGTAGCAGTCATACATGTTAATCAAAGTACACCCAGACAATTCACATTATACTCAATATCCCATAAAACCTGAAGACAATAAATTTCTTGAGTTCCCCCTTATAAGACACAAGTTTTCTCTGTCATTTGTTTCAGAGTGAAGAAATCTCATGTCGTATTAGAATGTTTAAAATAATGAAAGCTTGTGTATTACTGTAAGATATATGTATACATGTAAGATATATGTATTACTGAGAGATATGTATACATGTTTATAGCTGAGAGAGTCAAGATTCAATTGACAGTGGTGTTGAAAAGTTCAGCCATTATATAGGAAAAAAACCCTACCATACACACACAAACACACAAAACACCTCACCCTCATCTTAAACACGGACGATAGCGACGAAAATCGATTCATGAGCGACGGCTGAGGTTTGGGAACCGCTGTGAAGTCCTCCTGGTCAGCGGGCTCGGAGGAATGTGATTGGTTGTCCGGGGCGCAAACGAGACACTGCTTGGAGTCGTGGTCGGCGAGGCTTTCGTTGATGTTGTGTACCAGCAGGTCGTGTATGGCTGCAATGTAACGAGTTTTTAGTACAGTGTAATGAGAAGGGTGTTGAGTACTGTACCTCTCAGTATTGTCCTGGGATCATGTCCTGGCCTGAGACACACATGAGTAGGGTGTTATCCAGTGTGAACCTAACTACCAATCATGGTAGTTTTCACGGTCTAATCCTGCACTAACAATGGCTAGACCTTAATGATTAAGTGACTATAATTATGTACTGTACTATAATCTATCTCAAATACATAAACTAATCATCTATAATCTAGTTTTATCATTATTTAACTAGTATTTTTTTTATAAAGGACAGATAATAGGATGTGGATGTTGTTAATAGGAGGAACTTAATAGAAAAGTGTAATAACTGACGAATATGAAACAAGAGCTGACTGTCGTGTTAGATTAGATTAGGTTAGGTTAGATTAGGTTAGCATTAGAGTAGCTTAGGTTAGTTTAGTTTAAGTTAAGTTAAATCAAGGATAAGTTAAGGTTGAATTAAGTTAAGTTAGGTTAGGTTAGCACTGGAGTGGATAACATTAAATTACCCTAACCCTAAATGATAAGACTCGACCACCACCAGACACTCACCATGGTAACCGCCCTTGGCCAGGCTGACGTACTGAGTGTTGTGCTGAAGGAACGACGCAACGACCATGTGTACGTACTGGTCCTCCTGCTCACGGCCCGACCCCACGAAACAGAGGTGTTGCCCGCAGCCTGGGGTCTCCGACGCTACGGCCTGACGCTGTGCCATAAACAGACCCTGGACGGCAGTTTGGAATAGGGCCTGGTGTTGAAGCATCTGTAGATAAACAAATAAATGTGTACTGTAAACAAACAATGATAAGTGTAAACAGAGAAAAACTGTAAACAAACACAAACTGTAAACAAAAGCAATGATAAACAGAGCATAAGAACATAAACAGGCAATAAACCGTATAAAACAACATTATAACACGTTTCAACCCCTTATCATTCCTGTAAGCACCCACCCCACCCCACCCGACGTAACCATACACAGGGCGGCGTACCAGGCTAGAGTCGAGGTGGAAGGCATTTGGGAGGTGGCCGGCGTTGTATTGGTCAGAGGGGCGGCAGTCGATGAGGAAGAACCGCACCTGGAATGATAATGCCTTACAGAAACACTGATTGGCTGATTGGTTGGCTGATTTCCTGATTAGTTGACAGATTTCCTGATTGGTTCAATGGTTGGTTGGTTGGTTAGTTTCCTCATTGGTTGACTGAATACTGAACCTAGAATTGATACACATAAAACGAATTGATTGGTCGACAAAAAACTATGAAATGGCTTATAGAAACACTGATTGGTTGACTGATTTTCTGATTGGTTGGATGAACAATGAACCAATAATTAATACACATAAGTACACATTTAAAAGATTAAGTCAGGTCACATGAAGATTAACCCCCTAGTTTATTTTCATGGGAAGATTAACAACCCTAACCTAGCCTAAATCAACATTACTTAATCTAACTTTAACCTAACAAAAATAAACGAAACCTCACCTTCCTTAACCAAACCAAATGCAACTTAACCTAATCTACCCAGACCAATTCTAATCTATTTTAAACTAACCTAAGACCCCGAACAATTTGCCAATAACTACCAAACTACGCATCAGGACCGACCTGCTCAATATCCTCTGGTGGGGCCTGAAGCATATCGCAGGTGTCGATGATTTCCTCGGCCGAGACGGGTAGACACAGAGACTGGGAGAGAGGGAGGTCGCCTACCCTATTACACATGTCCCCGTGACCCATGTACACCGAGCCGAAGATCACCGTCGAGAAGTCCTGTTTGGGGGTAATAAATACGGGATACTTCAAAAGCCGTGGTGGTGTATTGTATGAATATATCCACCATGAGTTACTGAAATACAATGACTGTATACCCTTGACATATTAACACACTACTAGGAGCTATTTTAATACAATGAATGAATATTATTATGACTTTTACATCGTTTAAATGAAAATACAGATGTAAACACTCTTTCTCACACACAAACACACTCTCTCCTTCTCAAACCCACCTAACCTAACCTAACCATGCAGAAATCACCAGCAAGCACTTTTAAACTCTTCTTGTTGACAGTTTAACACACAATCACCAAACTGTCAACAGAAGCACATGTGGCATTAAGCGTGCAATACAGTACCTACGTGAGAAGAAAAGATATGTGTCTATATATCTGGAAATAATTATACAAGCCAGGTTATAGAGGTTATAGTCCATTATAGATGAGATAACTTAATCTAATGGACTTTATGGAGACTGAAGGGATTTTTTTTAGGTTTGAGATTATTTGGATTCAATGCTGTGGTGCAGAGAGTTGGCGGTAAACTTCGTCTGTTGCATAGTGCTGTACATAGCCAAGGCTCACACTAGAGTAAGGCATCGTCATCACCCACAATGCCCCTGCACACCTTTCTGAAAGTGGCAGGTGTTTTGACGACGTAGTATCTGGCCAGGGAGCAGAAGTCCGAGACGTCGTCGACACTCAGGCCAGATGGGATTCCACTTAAGGTCTCAATGATGTTGTTTTGCGGTTTGCTCTTCATTTCTAAAACTTGTTCCCTGAGAAATAGATTAAAGGTTAGCTGTATGGGGTCACCTCTGAGCTGAATAAAATCATCTGTTGTTAATATTAAAAGTGTCGTCCCTGTAGTGAAGGTGTTAGTGGTGATAGTCTACTAACACCTGGTGTATGGGGTCACCTCTGAGCTGAATAAAATCATCTGCTGTTAATATTAAAAGTGTCGTCCCTGTAGTGAAGGTGTTAGCGAATTAAAAAAAATAAATAAAAATTAAATTACATACAAATTAATAATGTTTTAGATATTTTCAAATATAGTAAACTTTACTTTTTCTTCTGCAAAACTTTCCTGTGGTTATGTTTGGTTAGGATAGCTTAGGTCAGATTAGGATAGACTGGGTTAGGTTAGGTTTGGTTTGGATAGATTAGTTTAGGTTAGGTTAGCTTAGATTGGGTTAGGTTAAGTTAACAATAGGATGTTTAATCATCAGGTGAAATAATCAAAGGTTCATAACCATCATGGTCAGGTCAGGTCAGGTCAACAATAGGACATCTAACAATCAGGTGAAATAATCAAAGGTTCGTAACCATAATGGTCAGTGGCCTCAACACTAACCTGGCGTTGACTAGGATCACAAGAGCCAAGAACAGAATAAAGAACGGATCTCTCTCCTGGAAATATATATCCCACACGGCCATGGTTGAGTCCAGACTACACACTGCGGCAAACAAACTCCGCATCTGGAAACGGAGAATGGCAAACGGGATAGAGCGTGACGTGGTTGTTTTTCTTCGGTGATGTAGTCAAAGCTGCGAACGAGGTCATTAGTGATTTATAGCCTTTAGATATCACCTGAACAATAGCCCCCCCCCCCAAAAGGTAGTTCCAGGGTGGTTAAACTGGGGGTGATTTCAGGTAAACAATTGGGGGTTAATCTTCAGGTGATAATAACAATAACTAACTGCTTTCTGAAAGACCATGGCCACTTAACACTACAAAAAAAAACCAATAATAAATCATAATCTTCATAAAATTAAACCACAAGACAAAAACTCACATCTAACCAACAACAAACAAAAGTATCTGTGTTACCCAAGACGTGGCGTAGAGATCTGGGGTGATTTTCCGGGAGTCGAGAAAAGTCGACAGTTCCGGGTCGTGGTAGAGGAGCAGGAGCCTCAGCAGGTGATAAACAGGACCTCCGATGCCAGATTCCCTGAGGGGGGGGGGGTTAGGTTAGGTTATAATTTCCGACTATAAAGTAAATTCTCCCAATACCACACTAATTCTTACAAGCCCTGTACAGTATTGGGAGGTTTCTGTTATTGAGAATATCCACTATTGACAAGTCTGTTATTGAGAGGATTAATATATAGGGATATATAGGAAAATACTTTACCTCGGGATATATTTCTCAAGAATCTCCTCGAAGCAGATGTAAATATGGTCTCGTGGCATTTTCCCGGCCAGGAGAGGTAAGACAATGTCAGCCCATCGCATCGTCGGGTCGTACTTGAGGTGCCGAGACTTGCAGTAATGAGTGAAGATGGATTCCACGTCGCATATCACCGAAACCTTATCTTCCTCTTCATTACCAAGTTTATCTGTGGTAAATAAAGTCAGCTTAATATTCTAGCTGGTGGGAAATAAAGTTGGGTTAATTTTATAGTTGGTGGGAAATAAAGTTAGCTTCACTGAAATCTGTAAGGCTGTGTGTGTGTGTGTGTGCATTACTCCAAGTCAATCATACACTCACCTACTAGGGTTCTACAGTCTTGCCTCACTGTACTCTGCTCCTGTAGATCAAATATCTCATCGAACTGAGTAAAGTTGCTGAATTTGTTCCCGCCACCGAGACACGTGTACCATATCTGGGGTGAAATGAAGTGTTTTAGTGGGTCACCTGATGATTAAACACCCCTAGTTTATTTTACCTGATGATTAGACACCCTCGTTTATTTTACCTGATGATTAGTCACTGCCCCTTTCCCCCCTACATGAGTGAGACGCACAATTCCGAACGTGATTTTGTTTTTTCATTTACGTTTTGTCACGCCTTCTCCCCAAGACGCAGTTGGAATCAAAGGACAGACACACGAACACTACTATTATGACTCATCGTTCAATTATTACATTCACCTTCCAAAAGAATACCCAAACTATCGACTAACAGAGGAATTGGTTTGTCCATCGTTTTATTTAAGTCTACCAAGGGTGGTTGGGGCTTCACCTGACTTCATACCTCCTTCCCTCTCCGATACTTGCCTGCGCTCGATGCTCCTCCGGCAACACTCGCCCTCTGGTGATGCTGACGAGTTCGTGGTCATCGACGCCTTCGTGCAACGCTGACTCGAGGGCCAACAACCTATGACACATATTAAAGATCGTAGTTAGGTTAGGTTATGGTTAGATTAAGGTTAGTTTAATAGTTTCTACTTTAAAGATTATGACATTAAATAAGTAATATTGCAGTAAAGAGCAACCAATCAGTACAGGGAATTCAGAATACACAATTGATAGAACTATTATGATAGGAGGGGCTAAATCCATAACGAGTGATTTCCGATCAAAACAAAAGTCAGATTTGAACCAATCACATCAAAACCCATCAGAAAAACATATTACCAATTCTACCATTAAATACTCCAGCCCATCAGGTGACAATCAGGACCCGGCTGACGTATATAAGGTGTAAAGACCACAGGTATTTAAAGGTTTATAGCATGTATTATCCTATGTATGATGACACAAGTATACATATGTGTTAAATGACGTATATATGAATGATTTTCTCCCTGATAATAAAGGAAATAAAGGAAATATAAGAGAATAAGTGAAAACAGCTGATCCAATGTTGACATTTTACCAAACTAACATTCCAACCAAAACTACCCATATTTACCGTTATTTAACCCCTTAACGACGCTATTTATCTAGTATTTTATGAACTATGAGGCTCAGGAGTTCATTAAGTGTTGATTAATAGCAGTAAAGGTGTTATTTAAGAGGTATTGAGGTCATTAATCACTCACCAGGTACTGTCTTCATCCTCCACAGACATGACTGATCTACACTGTTGCCACCTCAATACTTTTACCTATATTGGTATTTTTTATTCTTTTCGTCTGTATGATTCTGTTTATCCTTTAATAAAGTTCATAAATGTTGGGATATTATTTAGTTTTATATTCTACGTTGATAATAATGTATAATTATCTGTTATTTGACGAGAAAAGAAAAAAATAATGGATATCTTATCTTCAAGATAAATAGTATTTTAAATAGTTATTGGTCTATGAATCGTTATATTTATCTTCATTTAAGATATAATTATTACTTATAAATATATATATAAGAAATAAACGAGCATTTCCGACGATAAATAATCCAATTTCTCATACATTTAATTCACATCTTGGGTTTGATGAGGAAGAGTATCTGGTAACACTGTCAATAATTCCCTTGTTTATACCTAGGTGGCGACACAGGCGCTGCCGAGTGTCAACTTGTCCCATCCCCTTGGAGTTAACTTTGGCTTAGTTACCCAATACCTTGTCCATAAAAACCATATTTATTGGCCTAATAATTGTAAATAAACTTATAATGTATATTTATCGTATGTTTTTTATATTTTATGATGTATATAATCGGAATTAAATGTTAGAAAAGACTATAAATAAGGGTGTTGTAAGAGCGAAGTGTTCGGAGTGTCGTAACTGAATATAATTTTTTAATTAATATTTTTTACACGTGCGTTTCTCTTCTTCACTGTAGCCATATATTCACTTATCCTTCATCTACCAGAGAATAAGTCTTGAATTATACCCATACTAATGTTACAGCCTAAATAAAACCCATGTGTGACTTATGAGACACCCTGTACATGTGTGTGTGAACTATAAGACACCCTGTACATGTGTGTGTGACTTATGAGACACCCTGTACATGTGTGGTTGAACTATGAAACACCCTGTACATGTGTGTGTGAACTATAAGACACCCTGTACATGTGTGTGTGAACTATATGACACCCTGTACATGTGTGTGTGAACTATGAGACACCCTGTACATGTGTGTGTGAACTATAAGACACCCTGTACATGTGTGTGTGAACTATAACACACCCGGGGTTGAATCAAGACACACACACACGTAAAATTCTGCACATGTGTGTGTGGAACTATGCAGACACCCCTGCATATGTGTGTGAACTATAACACACCCTGTACATGTGTGGCTGAACTATGAGACACCCTACATGTGTGTGTGTGAAACTATAAGACACCCCTGTGTGCTATGTGTGTGAATTAGGACACCTGTACATGTGTGTGTGTGAAACCATAAGACACCAAGCATGTGTGAGTTGAACTTATAAGACACCTGTACATGTGTGTGTGTGAACTATAAGACACCAATACATGTGTAAAAAGAACTATAAGACACCTGCACATGTGTGTGTGTGAACTAGAGACACTCCCCACATGTGCAAGAACTATAAGACACCCTGCATGTGTGTGTGAACTATAAGACACCCTTGCACATGTGTGTGTGAACTATAAGACAACTGCACATGTGTGTAAAAAAGAACTATAAGACACCCTGTACATGTGTGTGTGTGTGTGGACCATAAGACACCTGTGGCTGCAGAACCATGAGACACCCTGTACATGTGTGTGTGAACTATATAGACCCTGTACATGTGTGTGTGAACCATAAGACACCCCTGTGTTACGTGTGTGTGTGTGGACCATACCCCAAGGTGTGTGTGAACTATAAGACACCCCCTGCAAAAATATGTGTGTGTGAACTGATGAGACACCTGTGCTGGTGTGTGTGTGAACTGAGACACCCTGCACATATGTGTGTGTGAACCATAAGACACCCTGCACATGTGTGTGGAACTATAAGACACCCTCACATGTGTGTAAGAACTATAAGACACCTGTACATGTGTGTGTGTGAACCAAGACACCCTGCACATGTGTGTGTGGAACTATAAGACACCCTGCACATGTGTGTGTGAACTATGGACACTCCCTGTACATGTGTGTGTGAGTCTGTGAGACACCTTGCACATATGTGTGGAACCATAAGACACCCTGCATGTGTGTGTGGAACTATAAGACACCTGTACATGTGTGTGTGTGTGAAACTATAAGACACCCCACATGTGTGCAGGAACTACAAGACACCCCTGCATGTGTGTGTGTGGAACTATGAGACACCCCACATGTGTGTGTGTGTGAATCATAAGACACCCCTGCACATGTGTGTGAACCATAAGACACCCCTGTAAGTATGTGTGTGTGTGACTATAAGACACCCTGCATGTGTGTGTGTGTGAACTTATGAGACACTCCTAAAGGCAGAACTATAGCAAGACCTTCTGTACATGTGTGTGTGTGTGTGAACTATAAGACACCCTGCACATGTGTGTGTGTGTGTGAACTATGAGACACCCTGTACATGTGTGTAAAGAACCATAAGACACCCTGTACATGTGTGTGTGGAATCCATGAGACACCCTACATGTGTGTGTGTGGAACCAGGCACACCCTGTACATGTGTGTGTGTGTGAACTATAAGACACCCTGCACATGTGTGGGGAACTACAGACACACCCCTGTACATGTGTGTGTGGGTGAACTATGAGACACCCCACATGTGTGTGTGTGGAACCATAAGACACTGCATGTGTGTGTGTTCTGCAGACACCTGTGTTACGTGTGTGGAACTTATAAGACACCTGCATGTGTGTGTGTGTGAACTATGAGACACCCAGCCATGTGTGTGTGGAACTCATGAGACACCTGTACATGTGTGGAACTATAAGACACCCACATGTGTGTAAGAACTATAAGACACCCTGTGTATGTGTGTGTGTGTGTGTGGAACTATGAGACACCTGTACATGTGTGTGTGAACCAAGACCCCACATGTGTGTGGAACTATAAGACACCTGTACATGTGTGTGTGTGTGAACTATAAGACACCTGCACATGTGTGTGTGAACTATGAGACACCCACATGTGTGTGTGTGAACTATAAAGACACCCCCTGTACATGTGTGTGTGCAGAATCTAGGAAGATGCCCTGTACATGTGTAAAGAACTATAAGACACCTGTACATGTGTGTGTGTGGAACATGAGACACCCTGCATGGTGTGTGTGATTTATAAGACACCTGTACATGTGTGTGTGGAACTATAGACACCCTGCACATGTGTGTGTGTGTGTGAAACTATGAGACACTCACATGTGTGTGTGAACCATAAGACACCTGTACATGTGTGTGTGAA